ATGGTGATGGTGATGGTGAGGATGGTGAGGATGATGATGATGGTGGTGATGATCGTGATGATGATGAGGATGAGGATGAGGATGACGATAACGAAGGAGGACGACGATGATGATGACGATGGCGATGGTGATGGTGCAGCTGCTGTGTCTGCGGTGACGGCGATGGGCGGTGGCACTGCTCCAGTAATCAGTAATCATGATGATAGTCATGAGGATTGTGATGATGCAAACAGTTGTGGTGATGATGATCATTAGTAGTCTTGTCGTCTGGATTCTGTGATAGCACCGATGGATGTGATTTGTTCGTGTCGTGCTGATGATGACAATGATGATGAACGTGATGATGATCATGGCGAAGAATAGACGACGGCGACGACGAGAAGGACGACGACGAAGCGCCAGTCATGTGTGATCGAGGCTGCCGTGGTTCTGGTTCTCCTGGTGTTGATCATGATGTTGGTCGTGCTGGCCTGGCACAATCGCGCTCCGTGAATCCGAGGAAGCAGCACTCGTCGTAGCAGAGAGTCGAGGAAGAAATGCGAATGCAAACTGTCACGGAGATCCTGAGCAAGTGGGTGCCGGACGGAATGAGTGTGAGTGAGACTGTGAAGGGGAGGGAAAGGGAGAGGCAGACGGAGTGAACGGCTAAGCCAAGCATGGAAGTTGGTGAGCACGAGCACGTGATTGAATGACTGACTGAAGGATTGAAAATACTTTGGACTAGTTCAGAACGAGAGAAGAACGCGTCCTTTGGGCTGTTGGCCTAAACGTAGCTGCCTAACTTTAAAACCTTGAAGCCACATCATTCAGAACGGCCTACGCCAGCAAATACTCGTCGGTGATCTTGCAGCTGCTCGCTCCAAAGCCAGGGCCCTTTCAGGCAGGGCTTCCACTTGAAAGCTTGGGACGTCGGGTCAGATTTTGGCAACTCGTGTGCCCTGGAAATCCAGCGACTTCCTCCCCGCCTTGATGTAGATCCAGCCTGCACGCAGTCGTTTCGAGTTCAGTGGTGTCTTCTCTCTGTTTCTTACACCCAAACCTCGCTTCCCAGCATTTGTGCCTTTCTTCTCACCGGCCACCACATCCAGCTCGGCCCAAACGCCACCGACGCTGCCGACAAAGAGCTCGCCGGTGGTCCGCACCTCAAAACAAGGCTTAAAACGCGCTGGGCTTCCAATGCAAGTGGAGATGCGAATCCTGAAACTCATCCAAGACCGTGTTGCGAACAGCTTCTGCACAAGAGAGCAGGAAGCCGAGTTATGTGAGGCCGGATTAAAGGCCCTGGCAAGCGATCCGACGGGCCGTGTGATCTTGATGATCTTATCCTTGGCAAGGAAACTTGTCCCTCACGTCAAAGGATTGCTCAAGGCTCGTGACTGGTCTGCACAAGGAAGTTCAGCGAGCCCGTGCTAGAGATCCGACAAGACGCAGATTCTTTCGCCGTCTTCCTTGCAGAATCTCCGAAACAAACACATGGCGACAATGCCGCTTCTGCTTAGCGTTCATGCTCGGAGTGCTATGCATGCATTCTTCACTCCGGAGCCCTCACTGTTTCGGCCGGGCGTCTTGTAGAGGTCGGCCTTCAACACTCTGTATGCAGTCGGACGATCTTGGCAGAAGGGACGTGGAGGAACGAACCTGAAGCAGTCTGAATCGCCAGCGACATGAACGAAGCAAGTTCCACGAAAAGGCGAGCCTGACTTTGCAGGTGTCTCTTGCACCGCCATCGCCAGGCGTCTCGGATGAACAACTCAAGCTACCACTGATAATTGTGGCTGCTGGAGGTCCCCCGAAACGTAGCCTGGCTTTTGCCGGGTCGCTCCACCGCATCCGACCTCCACGAACTCCTCCGGGGCTGCAGCTGGCGCAGCCTTTGGCCCTTCCTCGGTCCAAGAGCACTCCAAGTCCTCCCAGTTTGCATCTGCGGATCTGCAATGGTGCCAACTTCGCCGATCCCTGAACGCATTCCAGAAACGCCAAAGCCCTGTCTTCAGAGCACTTTTTCCAAAGACTCACGCAAAGCCAAGGGGCCAGCGCTGCTTTGAGGCACTCGGGCTTGCAGCCTTCGGCAAAGCTCGTTCTTGAGTAGACCCCTAGAAGAGGGCTGCCGGAGACTCGCCCTCCACAAAGCCCAAGGACGCGGCGGACGTGTTCCTTCGTCTCGTCTAGAAGTTCCACCTCCCAGCGCTCGGAGCTTGGAATGAACTCCTGGTCGCGAACTTCGGCAACGACCTCTGCTGCCACCCGCTGTATACCCGGTATCTACCCTGAGAAGCTTCGCTTACGGCACTGCGCAGGTCCTGAATCCTCGCCTTTTTGCCATTCAGATCCGCTCGAGAGACCTGGGCCGCCAAGGGAAGCTCCGAGGGCCTCCAACGGTCTTCTGGAGAAGCCCCCATGTTAAAGGCTGCACCTGACACGAAGATACACAGAGTGACCGCAACCTCCGCTGAGACAATCCTCGCCGGGCAGCAAGACCCTGGATCTCGACCTGAACACCCAAAGAGCTGAGCACACGGCACCCGGGCTTCTCAAGCTGACCGCGCGCCTGCAGGCCAGCTGCCAGTTGAGGGGCCGCGCTCGCATAGCCTGCACTCATCAGACTTTAAGCCGCGGAGTGCCGGGGCTTTCTGGATGTTCGATCTTTGCAAAACAAGTTGAGACGTCAGCGACTACTGCCGCAGTAGGTCTGGGAAGCCCGAATCCCTGCCGACCTCCGTTGCCCACAGCCGCCGGCATCTCGCCTCGGAGTGGCCGGGTCTCTTCGTCCTCCGGCTTTGGAGACGAGGCTTCGGGACTTGGGCTGCGGCTCTCGAAAGCCTTACGGGAGGAATTCCGGATTGTTCCAGATGGAACCTGCCCTCTGCGAAGCACAACGAGTGTGAAAAAGAGACTTCTGGATGGAGTTCATGCGAACTGCAAGTCACAGTGCAGAGATTCGGTGACAGAGGGAGGAGCGAGGGATACTTCATCACACTGCAAAGAAACACTGCATAAGTATGTTCCCGGGCATCTCCTCCTCTTCTTCCCGGCCCTCCTTGGGCGGCTCGAAATCACTGGCCTCTTCGGCTTACAGGGTTCCAGGGGAGTACGGGAATGGCCGCTCCGCATAGCCCAAGCTGCTGGAGACTTTGAGAACGAGTTTATGGCTAAACTGAGGCCTTGATGACGCCGGCATACATCGGTCGGAGGTCTCCCAGGATTCCGTCGAGTTGCCTTGGCTCGACCGCACTGGCACTTCGACGAAACCTTCACGATGACAGGGTGATCCTCAGCCAATACCAGACCAGCAACGCCTTCTTCCATGCGTTGATTCCGCCCGTCATGCGGACGATCCTTGCACGATCCGCACCCATCTCGACCAAATACCTGGAAGTACAGTACTTGGAAGGTGCTTGGCTACTGCTGACAGGACTTGCACCGCTGGCAGCAGAGCACTGCGCAATGTGGCGACATCGAGAAACATGGCCGCGATTGATGTTGCCCTTCACGCAAGCATCCTGGTTTCCAGGTTTAAAGAGTCAAGCGCGCACTGGAAAGTCCACAAGCAGCATTCTGCTTTTTTTACCACTTACTTGTACTTGCTGTGCAATTACGACGGTGCCGATACGTCCCGTTCTACAGCCAGTTCGAACTCAATCTACGTAGCCAATAGTATTCTTTCTTCTGTGATGTTGTTGTAAGCTTGCTGAACGGTGCAAAGCAACCACGAACGCAGTTCAATATCCGAAGCTCAAGAGCTACTATTCGGCCGAGCAGCACTAAGACAGACCAGGGTCCTGCCGGAATTGACAAGGTCTACCAACTGTTGGACCAATCCTTTGTCTGCCTGAGGCGGGGACACTCTGCTAGCACAAAACCGACAACTGAAACTAGGCAGCTTGTACTCAAAGTCGCCCCGCTTCAGTCCGAGTAGCTCCTCCCGCTTTCATGATGAGCGAATTGGCAGACAAGTGAAACGAAGTCTGGATTCGCGTCGTCCTGTTTGGATTCATTCATGAAATCTGCTTGCCTCAACTGTGTTGAAGGCTTCACACAAGAGTCAAGACATGTCATCCCAACAGGAAGCCGGCCAGCCCGATTTGGAGGCTCGCTCCTGAAATCATCGTCATCTCTGCTGTCCACGAAAACAGCCTGACATATAGGCCAAAATCACAAGTCAACTGACAAAAGAGTCCGTAACATGCATGCTGCCGTGTGTGCAGAGCGCCTTGTCATTCTTCATGAGCTGGTGGGCTTCATAAACTGTCACGTAGCAAAAATCCACGCCACTATCCGGAACCTGACGGCCAGACATTGCGTCCGTCAAGACTGTAGATTGTCTCAAGAACGTAGATTGTTGCTTCAACACCGTAGGCGAGCTGGATACACTAGGCTCGTGCAGGCATGGCACGCCGTAGCCCATGGCTGCGTCGCCCCGTCACCGGCACCGTTTGTTCGGCATTGCACACAAGCGATTGGCTCCGGTATATCGCATTAACGCGTAGCAGAGATTGGCTACTTGACACGGGAGACGCAAAATTGTGTTTATGCTTTGTCGGTTCGTGGCTTTGGCAATCACAAAATGGACGGTTTCTAAGATCTGGGTCGGCGTTGCAACAGATGTGTTTGATGTCTCGAGCTGCAACAAGGCCTCGCGCAGAAACACTGTGAGAGGTTTCAAAACTATACTCTACCATGGCAGCTTTTGCTACAAAGCCTTGCACCCGGAAGTCGCTCGAAGTGGACTGAGGCCGCACTAGGTCTCTTCTCTGTAGCGACAACTTTGCAGTCAAGGTGCATGCCACCAAGGACGTACACTTTGCCGTCCAAAAAGCAAGCCTCTGTGGCACAGTCACAGTCGCAGGTAGAGGACTGTGCATGCTTCGAGGATCATGGTCAAAGGGTGTGAGGTACACGGCACTAAAAATAACACTTTCTGCAGCTATAGAGCACAAGCACCGTGCCGACGGGTTGGCATAGCAGGAAGGGCGGACCACTCATCGGCAAGGGAATCGTAGACCTCTGCCGAATTGAAAAACCTCGGACTCGAACCAGTACACTTGTGGCTTTTTTGTTTCAAGCGTTGGCCGTCTATTGATGTGCTTTGATTTCATTTGTATGACGTCGCCACGTGGACAAATGCGGTCGCAAGCAACACAGTTTGGGCGGCACGACGGATTGTCACGCGTTGCACCTCAAATTTGCCGGCTTAGATCGTGGCACGACGATAAGATACTCCGAAGCCGGCCTCTCAGACAGACCCGCATTTTGCAGAGCAAACCTCTTTCAATGGGCATGACGAGGACGCTGACAATCGTGTTGAGATGGATTTCCTGGGGAGAAGCCCCTGGCCATTCCCTGTCGGCTGTCATACCGCAGAGCACATCACTTTGTACTCGCCAGATGGGATTCCCCAGTGATCCTTGCATATACATGGACGGGTTGTAATGCTACCTTGTCCTTGATACCTGCCAGTAGAGGCTTTGATCGGGAACAGAACAGCCCCGGAAGGACGAATGAGGCTTGGGGCCGCTCTGATGCAGCAGAAATGCCGGTGTCCCTTCCACGCCGGCTTCTCGCTACCAGTGTCGTGCAAACAAAAACCGTTCTCAAAAGTGTGCGGTACACCTGGCTGGGTCCAATGGCTCTTGACCTGATTGGTACCATCAAGAGAGCAAAGGATCACCACTTTGACAACGGCTTGATTGGAGTTCCCACGCAGCCAGAAGAAGCCAGGCCCTGTCCCGAAATCTTGGCAGCGCTGCTACGAGACAGCACCGGTGAACTGCCGCAGATGAACGCTGCAGGCAGTGCAGGTCAGGCCAGGTTGGTGGATGTGAGCACAACATCGCGGAGCGATGTTGCGAATCTGCTTCTGCAAAACAAACCTGCAAAACTTGGAGGCCAGGGCACTCGTCCAGGCTGCAAGCTTGTGGGTGCTTTCCGCAGCCGCCTCAAGAAGGCAACACTCTGGCACGTGACTGGAAGTATGCCCCCCCCCTTCCGACACCTGCAAAGAATGCTCTGCCCAGCCCCATGTCGCAGCTGGCACTGTCAAGCCTGCGCAAGGAAGAACAGAAGAAGTCAAACATGCCTCCTCAAAAAAGCCAGCTTCTAGACAAACCACTTGAAACGACAGAAACCTAAACCTGCTCAAGCATACTGCAAGCACCTGAGTTCAGGTGGTGGAGCCAAGGGCAAAGGGCGCGCAGGGTCCTCGAAGCGCCTCCAAAATCTGCGAGAGCGATTTCCAGGAAATAACGATATGGTAAAAGCAATGACAAACAACTGGTAATCATCACAGGGTGCGAAGTCCGTCAGTTGGAGACCGACCGCAAATGATACTGCCCACGCCCACCCCAGATGCATCCAGCTTGGAGGTCGTGCCCACTGCATATGTGCGGACATGGAACCAGTGTTCCGGCCAGACTTTCCGCATGAAACCGCCGAACTGGAAGAGACACACAGGTGGTTCCGTGATGTAGGAAGCGATCAGGAGCATAAGCCCTTTGTCGTCCTTGGTCCCAAACTGATCCCACTTCCGACCCCATCTCCATCCCAGAGTGATCGCCGGGTCGCATTGAGCCGCTCCCTGCAGAGCGGCCGCAGCGCGCGGAGCTCAGAGCAGCGGCTGAGGGTCAGGAGGCCCAGCAGCAGCCGCCGGTCCTTCTGGGAGAGAGAGAGAGAGTTCTATGAATTCCGGATTCCTTGCCGGAATGTATATAGGGTTTCCTGCTTCGTGCAGACCGGGTCCACACACATGCTACCAATTGCTTACAGTCGGCGCCCATGCATTTAAAGAGGTGTAGGCAGTATTAAGCTTGAACCTCTCACAATAACTCGAACTGCTTCAAGAGGTCGGCGATGACGGACTCGGGAATACGGTTAGGCCCATGCCCCCTTCCTAGGTAAGTCGAGCCCAGGTGCTTCCAGAACACTTTTCCACGGAGATGTCATCCTAATGGTGATGCAGTGAGGAAGTTGACTGCTACAAGCAGGATGGCTAGCTAAGGCTTTTCTTTAGCAGACCCTTCTCGTTTTCTCTCCCTTGCGCCAGCGCTTAGGTCGGCAATGCCTTTGCGACTATACATGTGTAAGCAAGCCCTCGTGGAGGAGTCAAAGCAGAGACTTGACATGGAGGACCACAGCACAACAAACAGGGTCGCATGTTCAGTTCCATTATCTTCCAATGTTCGCATCAATGCGAGCTCCTTGCCCCTCCAAGTCGCTCTCTGCTCGTCTACTCGTGCCCCGTGGCAAAAACCATTCGTGGACACGGTAGCTGCTTGCGAGTTGCTTCGCCTTTCGAAACTAGTCATGCGAGGCGTCGGCCTTCTAGACCCAGATGCTGGTCTCCGACTCGGGACGACCGTACTTCTCGAACAGCTCCTGGCTGATGGCCAGTACGTCACCTCAAGTCATGTCAGGGAGTGTGTTTTCGAGGATTTTACAAGTCTAGATGTTTCGGCCAAATCGCTTGTTGGCTCTTCGCACATCGGGTACTTTGCTGATCCGAAGTCGTGGGTCCAGTCGTAGCTGGCAGCTGCAACACACGCATCAAACCTCAGACTTGTGGGGGGATAGCAGGAGCCTGGAATTGCCGGTTCGGCTAGCATTCGCCCGGCAAGCGAAAGAACGAAGGGGCTGCATGCTTCCGAGGTGCGCGGTCTTGTTAATGGGCTTCTTGGAACCGAGATCCTCCATGGCCTCTCAGCTAGAGATGCTGAAAGCAGAACACATCACCGGCATGACAGGTACTCTCTCGTCCGGAGGATTTTGCGGTCGCCGTCGGTTAGCAGTCGATGGCCGGAAGCTCTCCTCTGACACTTCGTCAGATGAAACTTGTCTTCCCCTGAGCTGAAAGGAACTGGCCTGGCGTTGACTTGCAGCCAAAGAAAGGGCCAAGTAATCAAGACATACCAAGACATTAAATTTGGAATTCGGCAATTCACCCTGTCTGGAAGTGCAAAGTCTTGCCGAGCATCCAAAACTCAGCAAAGAAAATCATCTGCACAGGGTTTTCAATTCAAGCTCATGCGATCTTTTGTTGCTTGGTCTTGTGGGGAGTCTCTTCGAGGGCTGAACCCTCTGCACAGTCAGCTCCCCACCAAGGGAACTCCAGCATGGGGTTCCTCAGCAAAGCAGATCGGTCCGCAGCATGTTTGGCAAAGTTTGCGGAGCGGAAGCGGAAAAACGCGCTGTAACGTATATGCGCGGACGTGTTCGTTCCGGGCCGATGACACAAGTAAGGGTGCGCAAGGACAGCATCCCCAGGCGCAAGCTGCAGCTGCAGCGGTTGCCCGATTTCAGGTTTCGGGGGTTTCGGTGGCTGCCCCGCACCGGCTTCTGCCCATGTGCCTACGGCCTTGGTGGCCGAAATCTGTCCAAAGTACCAGCGGATGACCTCAGAGTTCCGGTGGGATGCTGGAAATACAGTGAAGTTGCCGCAATGCTGGGAAGTCTGGTCTGATAGTGCAACTTTCAACAGTACACTGAACGGTAACGGCGATTCCCTGCCCGTTCCATCGATGTGGAACTGCTCTGTGCTGTCGTCCCGATGAACTACCTTGTAGGCGGCCTCCGTGAGCTTCCCATCAACGGATTCTAGAAGGTCGGTCACTGGGAACCTTACGGCCATCTGTGCTCCACCAGTGCCAAAAGGACGCTGCAGAAGGCGCTGGACGGCAGCCCCAAGGCATGTGCGCGTCACGAGCGCCTCGATGGAAGGGTGACGGCTGCTCGGCAGCTTCAACTTTGGTGCCTCCCCGGGCTCAGTCGGCGAATCCAAATCCACCACCCAGGAATCGGGGCCTTGGCCGATCAGGTGGTTGATGTACCGCAAAGCACCGTTGACATATTCCGTGGGAACGGCGCGTTTCAGAATCACGAAACCGCATCTTGCGAACGCTTCATACTGCTGAGGCGTGAGGTCAAAGTCTTCGAAGGGCCTGGGGACGTGAACCGACTGGAAGAGCCAGCGGCTGGCGGGGTCGTCAGAAGATGCAGAAGCCACGAAGTCGTTGCCGCCATCAGCCAGAAAGGCCGGCTCCTCGACGTGGCCGACCGATCGCAGACTGACCCCCCTGGGCCCTGGGTCATCACGCGCAGAAACGACGAAGGTGGCCCAAGGCCCACGGAAGCCTTTGCCATCCACCGAGCGATCGCGCTGGATTCTGAGGCAGGTCTGTGGTTGGGGGCCGAAGCTCATTGGAGGCGCTTGGTCATCGACGATTTCGAGGTTGAAGGCTTCGAGAGCAGGGTCCAGCTCAAACGTTCGCAGCTGCTTCGCAGAAGCCCTGTGCGCTCGGAAAACCACGGACTTCGCTTGCTGTGAGGCAGAGCTTACAAGCCGCAGCACTTGGCCATCAGCAAGTTCCGTCGTGAGCATGGCTTCAGGGTCTCAAGCGCAAGGTCAGGCTTCCGGGTTCTTTCTGTTGGGGCTTTCGAGTTCTGTTAAAGAGGGCTACACGAGCCTTACGGACTCTGGCTGGTTGTCATTTTGTGCCGAAAAATGTGCTCCAAGAGATGCGACTGAGAAATCTGAATGTGGGCTCCTCACCGCTCAATCTGAGACCGCCCCTGCCAGGAACCGACACGCCCAGCAGGAGTCTTAGCGCCTGTCGAACGTAGCACTTGTGCCTCAGCGCGTAGAAGCCTCCGACCTTCCAAAGTTTCTTCTCCAAGGGTGAAGAGTCGGGCGCACACAAAAAAAATATAGTGATGCTGCACCTGGCCGGCCCACTGGCGGTTGGCGTAGTCGCAGAGTGGCGTGATCGAGCTCGAATTCCTCTTGGGCTCAGCTTCAGACGTCAGAGGACACACAGGCATCTGCTCTCTCTTTAAGTGCAGCCACTCGTCGGCTCTTGCGGCGTCCACACCGTCGTGAGGCTCCGGGCTGCAAGTTCCAAATAGCGCTCCTGCAGGTATGCAGTAAGCATCGAAACTGCACCAAAACCTGCACCTTAAAGGCTACTTCTCCCTTGGGCTAGGTGTGTGCACGGCCGCGCCAGCGTAGCATTTCCTTCTGCCCATGACTTCGCGCTCCTGCCCATGCACATGCCACAAAAGCTGTCAGCAGTCGAAATTTTCCGAAGATAACAGGCAACAATGGCAGCAACCCTGCCCGGCCGGATCCGGGCACTGGCGAGAAAGCCGTGGTCGCTGCAAAGGAGACCTCCGGCGGCAGTCAGATGCTCGGCGGAGGCGCCAGGCGCATGCAGCCGAGAGTCGGTCGGCGTCTGCGAGGACCGCCAGCAGGTTGCGGCCTGCCGCGCTGACCTCCCCGCAAGGACAAGTCTCGGGAAGCTAGAAGTGGCTCAAATATGTGGGGGCAGATGTCCCACTTCATAAAGGGCCACAGAAGCATGAGTTGTCGTTTTTTTTGCTTACGAAGAGACTCGTGGTGCGTGTGGGCATGGAGGGGCTGAGTGGCAAGTCACACACACCCCCAAGCTTTGGCATGTGAGTTTAGGATCCTGCAATGTGCGCACAAGTTCCTTCCTTTTATGCTGGAACTACATCAACTCGATTCCGCCTCGCCTCAGAAGGGGTTGTGGCGTTTACCATCTGAGCGAAGAAGCGGTTGGAGACCTTGCCCAAAACCTGGCATTGGTTCTTCACAGCATTGGAGGCATCGCCTAATTTGACGCACCCCGGGCCTCCCGGCCCAGATTGACCAGGTCGTATCGCAAGGTCTCGGGCACACCCGCTTTGGCTGCCTGGTCTTGGAGACGGAGCTTTCAGCTTGTGGAGACCCCTCTGCCCGGAGAACCCAATAGCCCTTAATTAAGGAATATACCTTAAATCATATTATTACGGCCCCTATAGTTTAAGGCATATTCCTTAATTAAGGGGTATTAGGTTCTCTGGGTGTGATGCAGAGCCAAAGCACTCTGTTCAGCTTTCCCCAGGCTTGCGCCACATCTGACAGCTTGTACCAGCTCTCGTGGGGTGTGGCCTCGCCTCAGGCTTGGACAGGTCGCTTCATCCAAAAGGATCCAACGAGTGCATCGGAAAGCACTCTTCTACCATTGCTACCATGGTACTTCCAGCACTATTGCTGCCACTGGAAGGACACCGAGTCTAGTTGTGTGATGTTTATTCTGGTTGTAGTACTGATTATGGCGACTGTCTGGAAAGTTGTGATTGTCGTGATCGCTGTGATAATCATCGGTCGTGCTCGTGTTGGTGTCGTCGTACCTTTCGGTATTGCAGTCGTCTTCGCGTGTCACCCTTGTTGTCGCTACTTTGAGTATTCTCTCTAAGACTATCTATCAGAACTTCCACTACTACCGCTGCTTCACCACCACCACAACTATTACAGCTACCACCACTACTATCACTACCACCAGAACCACCACTAGCCACCTTCCTCTGGTTGGTGACATATGTGACATGTACCCCTAATTCGCCCCCCACCCCTCAAGTTCTGCTGCTTTGAAGCCTCCTCCCATGGCCAGTGCTGTGAGGCCATCTGCGTTCTTCTCGGCAAAGAAGCCGCCGTGACTCCGAATCGCCCGAGAATTCGTCTCATTGCCGTAGACAGACCCCAATAGCAGCCGAAAAGCCTTGCAATTCTAAATCAGTCAGCAACTGTAAGTTGCTAAGAACAACTTTCAGATAGTATCGTCCGGCTTATTTGGAAAAGGCTTGAGTGACACCTTCCCCCCTACCCCAGGATTACGACAACTGCTGCGAACGCTGCCGCAGCATTGGTGTTGCCACTATAACATTGTATCTTGTACTCCCGATGCATGCATTGTGCCATGAGGCTTCTGTTCACAACGGTTACTTGTAAGACTTTGTGCTTCTCCGATTACAACTATTGCTAGGCCCCGTCCACAGTTGCGCCTCCTCCGCGTCAACCGAACTACGGCCGTAGCGCTGCTGGGTCCAGGTGGCCGCCCACTGCTCCAGGTCAATGGGGCCAGTCTGCCACGGCAGGTCCGTCAAGAAGCTGTAGTAGAAAGGGTTCCTCGAGCGGGTCTTGTTTAAAGGACATACAGTGCGGACATCCATTGGGACTGAAACACCCCCCTGCACAAGAAGGAAGGACAGTCTTAACCGTAAACTTGCCACAAGATGCTGATGCAATCTGCAGAAGCATGAGTGTGATTCAGGTTGTTGGTTGAATCGGTTTGATCCACTCCTGGCTGGCTTGGTCTCGTGGGTCCAGTGGTACGGGGGTTTTTCAGGGCTCGAGGGAAACGATGATGATCTACCGTGCTCCATCTTGGCACCAGCACCAGTGACCAAACGGTACCAAATACGTTCTGGTTCTCGGCAGGCCACGTTCACGTGGCAGGTCATGTTTGTAATGCACAAAAGACAACCCTATCTCTAAACCTGTGCCCCAGTGCCCCAGTCCGAGATTCTGGTCAATCCCTTCTGGTGCAGCACCAGTTCCTGCGACACTGGCAGTGTGCTGGAAGGCGTCTGAAAACTCAGAATTCCTCAGCAGACTGCTGAATGTGTGGAGGATGCAGACTCAAAAATGTTCCGTAGAAGCAAAACAGAAAACATGCTGAGCAAAGACCGCAGTCAAAGTAGGAATGCTTCCCCACATTCCTGTGTTGCCACCAAAATTGTGCAGGACCGACCAAATGAACGGAGTTCCGAAATAGCCGAAGTTATTGAACTTGTTCCATTCCGGATCGGCCTCGTCGAACATGTCCAACATGACAAAATGCTTGGGCGGCACCGCCGACACGAAGCCCTTCATGAAGGGCAGCTTATCTTCTCCCCAATCACGCCAAATCCAGCCCTGGTAGAGCCAGACAGCCTGTGGGTCCACCTTGCTCCTAAGCATCAAGACCGTGCAGAGTTTGCGCAACATCGCGAAAGCTAACAAAAGGAAACACGATGCGAAACGACCAAGGCTCATGGACTGGTATGCCGCCTGTGCGTGGGCATACGCATCAGGATCCACCGGGACGTCTTCTGAGCGCTGCCAACGACGTCCCTCAGTGTGCGAACGTGCCCAAGGACCTTGATTCTGGTTGAAATACCCGTCCGTCTCGTACCAGTGGTCTGTGCCCCAGTCCTTGATCATGATCTCCATGTAGCGCTGCTGAATCTTCCCGAAGAGGGGATCCAAGTCATCCAGCCAAGCAGCCCCTGTCTTGCTGATGTTGGCCTGCGGGTAGAGCTGCCGGAAGATGGGCGGGATGTTGCCCTGGAAGGTGGGAAGGACAGAGACCAAACCGAGGCTGCGGCTGCGGCTGAGGATCTGTTTCTGGAGCTCCCACTGCCCAGTCATCCAGCTGAAAGGTAGGGGCATACAGCCGTCTCCACAGCTGCTGCCGATGCCGTGCATGGACTGGCCCCGACTCCAGGCCAGCCAGGCGGCGCCGTTGCTCCAGGATGCAAACTCCGAGTTGTTCACTCCAAAGGCGTTGAAAGTCTTACGGTAAATCTCCTCCTGTCCAGTGTATGCGATTACCAAGTTCACCCCGTTCAGAACGGCCCAGTCAAGCCAAGCTTCCCAGTCCTTGAAGGAGTACCATGTGTAGCTGTAGCTGAATGTCACGACATTGTTGAAGTAACTCATCGGTACCCTGCGATATTTGATGATCTTCCGACCCACTCCTGGCCACGACTTTGGCACGGATACTTGGTTTCCACCCGTACGATTCCAGGAAAAGGACATGTTGCAGCGTGTACGCAGATACCAGCTGGCACCATAGGCCAGCTCCGGGCCACTTGTAGCTGCGATGCGGATCCGCCCGTCTTCTGCGTCGCTGAGCTCGAAACAAAGCTCAGTTCTTGCCGACGGGGGTGCTTGGCTGCAGTTCGCGACGATTTTGAGGTCAAAGGCCTTCACAACCTCTGTGGGGTTTAGACCGAGCACACGCGACAGGACTGCCTGGATGGCATCCGAACTCCCACGCCCTGCGAAGGTGTATGCGACCAAAGCCTCTTCACAAGTGCCTGCTGCTGCCAGGCTCCAGAGTACCAGGGCACGAAACATCTGCATGACCTCGGGGCCTAAAGCTCGCTTCAATCACAGCTTCGCAGCCAAACTTGCCCCGGTATGGAACTGAGCTGCACTGAAACAGGCACATACAGTCGACTTCCCACCAACTTCTGTCAGTGCGATACCCGGAACGAAAACGATGACGAAAGACAGCAGTGGCAATGAGAGAAACTGTCGAACGTTCGCTGCAGCCATGCAGTAGCAAGAAGCTGGGACTGGCACTGGCACGCATGTCTTGCAAAACGACCCGATCAGAAGAGTGAGTGGTCCTCCGTCCGACTGACGCTAAGAAGATTCATCCGCCTTGCGCAACAGGTCAGGTGCTCTTGGCAACGGCGACGAATGCAGGGTCAAACGACCCCACGAGCACAAGCTTCAGGCTCTTAGATTCAGTCTTCGGCGAACAACCCTGAATGCAACAGCTCGGTTTCGTTGACAGCAGGTCTGCAGTGCAAGACACGTGAGAAGGAGACGTGAGAAGATCTGGGCTCTACTGCATATTGACAGTGGCAGAGTAGCGCAGATGAAAGCACTAACGTACTTATATATATATATATACATATAATTATGTGTGTATATATATATATACAATAATTACATATATATATATATATGTATACACACACAAGGTATTTCGCCAGGACGCCAGCAGCCGAAAAACGCAAAGCCGGAAACCCGAAAGTAGCATACTTCTCGAGACAGTCTAAACAAACAAAAATGCCAAAGACCTTCAGATGTTCCAAAAGCAATGTCTTGCTTTTTGATGAAGGGTTTGTGGTTCTGGCATTTCCAAAACTTGTTGGGACTGCGTCGTGCCTGTTTGAGTCATTGCTTCAGAAAGTAATCAACCACTGAATGCTCCAAGCCAAAAAACGAGAAACAGCAGAGCGCCAGAGCTTTGAATATGATGTCGTGATGCGTGCTGGTGCATCATTCAAGAAAACTTATGAGTCAATACATGGAGGCGGGATGAAACGGATGAGGAGTTGATCGCGTATGATACTTATGTTATCCTAAACGTGAGGTGTATGAGGGGAGAAGCGTATGCGTGTGTGTATGCAGATAGATATATGTGAGCATATATATATATATATATGTGTGTGTGTGTGCGTAGCAGCACGCTTGTGCTGAGCCAGTGACTTGATCAGCTTCGGCGCACCTGCCGACATTGGCATGCAAAAGAATCTTGCCTTTCCCAGACTACATGGCACTCCATCAAAGCAGTCATGTAGGGTCTGGTCCCAGGTTGTGCGCGAATGTTTTGCGAACTGGAAGCAGACACTACTCTCCGCGCCGCACAACTTGGAGCATGACAAACCTTTCACCCAGCAAGCGCCCTGAAACTCTGCTTCACCCGACGGTGCATCACAGCTGTGCACGATCTCAACCCGTCAGTAAATCAGCGGCACATGAAGATCCCCTCTGCTGCCCCTTCCTTACACATCCGGTAAGTTTGTACCTGCTTTATTCAAGGGAATGAAAAACTGCAAACCACCTCAAACTCCCACAGACCTAGACTCACTTTTGCTCCACCCTGGCCTTCAACACCGGTCACTCGCACACCGAGCCGACCATCGTCTTGGGCTTTGACCACCTGCGCATGGCTTTGAGGGACGAAGGTTCATGCGCCGGTCAGTGCTGCAGCTCTACTTCCCTTCAGACTGCGAAGGTTGCATTCGCAAGTCACGCGAGGAAACGGACAACGGCTTTGGGCGACGGGAAGGAAACGTCGAGTGAGCCGCGCCAGAGTCCCGCAGAGCCTCACCGCAGCGAAAGTTCAGCGGGCTGCCGGCTTCCGAAGTGAGGCCGTGGACGAAGACTCGGCTCCCCACCTGATCCCACGACTCTGCACACCTCTCTAAGAGCCTTTCGAGGTCTTCCTTCAGTCCTTCAGAGCTGGGGGCCTGGAGGTCGCAAGGCGGCCCGTCATCACCCATCCGCGTAAAGGCGCAGCCGGATAGCACGGTGGACTGCCCGACTGGGGGACGTCTTTCGTAGCGGGTTGCCTGCACCTGCTTTGTCTAGCGGGAGCCGATCCTTGGTCCCTTTCTCAATCTCTTGACTTTCTGAGCTTAATGATTTATATGATTACGAAATATGGACTATGGGTGGTGCAGAAAGACTTGAAGGACTTGCAGTGGATGCAGGACTGGAGTTAGGCAAGGCCGCCTGGACTCTAGCTGACTCTAGCTGTCATCATTGTGAGAAGCGTGGTCCACCAAAGGTGTAAGCCAAGCAAGCTGAGAAGACCAGAGTTGGAGAATCTTGAAACTGGAGGGCTCGATTTGGAATGTGGTCCTGGGCATGCCTTTGCATCATGTCTTCTTGATGTCTCATAGCCGATGGGTCTCGTGGAAAACTGCACCCTTGCGCGTTGCAGACAGGTGCCGTCGAAATGCCTATGCCCGGCCTCACAGCTTCGGCGAGCAACCGGGGAATCTTTGGACAATCTATCACTCCAAAGCCGCGCGCTGCGGCATGCCATCCTCATGCGTGTCAACAATCTCCAGACAATATTCCAGCAAGGAACTTTCATTTTCCGACAGGTCCATGTTGGACATCTGTTTGAAAGCCGTCTTCCATCGTAGCGCCTGACGCCTTTCCTCAGCATCGCGCAATCCGCTGTCCCGCGGTCGGCGTGCGTGCGTGAAAATCCAGGCCCGAAGGCCAAGTAAGCAGGCTCGTGGCCTTTCGGCAAGCTCTCGCTTCCAGCTCAGGCAGCACAGCATCAGCTTCCTCTCTGCCCGGGTCAGCACATTCAGCGAGAGCCGACGGTTCGCCTCTTTCCACCTCCGGTTCTGCAGCCGCTCATCATGCTCTTTGGCAAACAACCTTGGCAGGCGTTCATGGAACCGGACCCATGCGACCATGATCAGCAGCCACGGCCGCACTGTGTTCTGCAAAGCATCCTGCAACAGTTCGGACTCGGCATGACTCAATTTGCCTTCACGTAGACGTTTGAGAGATTTGCACAGTCTGCGGCTCTGCCTTCGTTCGACCACATCCTCACTGAACTGTTGGGGGCGTCGCTGATTAGCTGACATCCATGCACAGAGGTCTTGCAGCACCAGCCATGACACACGATTGGGCAGCTTCTCCTGTGCAAGCCCGGGGTACGCGCTCCTTATCAGCTCCTTCTCTGCCGCATTGAGAGTGTTTCTAAGCCAGTGCATCCTTGCTTGCTTGAACCTGTGCGCATGCGACCGCTCCTCCTTGACATCATATCTCGGCCTCCGACCAGCCGACTGCAACCAAGCACACAAATCTATCAGCCACCCGCGGGGTTCGGGCGTCCATAAAGCCGTGCTGCCGTCAGCATGTAAGACCTGCCATGGGCTTGGATTCGACTTCTGCCCCCAAAGAGCTATCAGGAACTTCGTCAGCCGCTGCAACTTCCGCGACGATACAGCCCCAGAGCTGCTCACCACATGCACAAGCTTCAGTTCAGCTACACCGGGCTTTGGCTGAAGTGCTCGGAGGATGGCATCTGGTGCAGAGACACGGGTGTCGAGAACCAGGGTGTTGAAGGCGGGCAAGTCAGACCTCTTGAAGATCCAGTGCGAGACGCAGAGGACCTTGATCTGCCCCTTGTCAACGAGTTGCAGGATGGTCCTTCGGTCTCCCTGCTTCAATTTGCCTCTGACGACCGCTGCTGCCACTCCCAAGTGCCGGAGATACTCCGCGAGTGCAGAGGCATCTTCTGGTGACGGGAGCACCACCAACGCGGGCCCCCAACCGGCATCGACCTTCTCGCAGCAGTCGGCAACTTACCCCGAGGCTTCCTTGAATACAAGTTCTAGATGCGTTACCCTGCACCTGCACCTGTGGCAAACACACTCTAGCTCCTGGTCCCAGATTCGAGATCTAGCCCTTTGCTTAAACTTAAACTTCCATCCCACAGCGAGTAACTCCTCTAACCTCAACCCTGATGTTCATGGGTTCCCCAAGCTGCACACGTCTTACCTCCGTATCAGCCAGTCGTAAGCCCATACAACCTCGACGCCTAGAGGATCTCAGAACTGAGCTTGTGCTGCTGTTTCTTCAGTCGGGATTTGCGGTCTAACGGTCGAACCCTTAGCGCCCTGAACCTGGCGGAGAGGGAACGGGGAAGTACTAAATGGGTTCACACGGCTCGACAACAAAAATGCACAAGCTTCGCTCTACCATAGTCGGAGTGGTGGGACGCAGGGGTTCGATCCTGACGCGGAGCCGGATTTTGCCGGGCCTGGATGGCTTGGAGGGTTTTCGCCAGCTTTGACTTCCAGGAGTCGTTGGCCTCTCTTTGCAAGAAGTACGGCTGAAAGTTGCGAGCGCGTCCATCTTGAACAGCTTCCGCCAGCGTATAGGCAGCATCGGCACCAGCATCTTTCAAATGTAACGAAAATTCAGCACTCATGCTGGCAGTGACTTGATGTCGCATGACTTGTGCAGTATGACCATGGGAGCACAGCTGAGAAGAGTCCAACAGCTTGACCAGGAACTTGTGTCCACTCAGGCGATGCGCACTTGCGGAAACACAAACGACAATCTCGTCCCAAAGATCGGTGTCGGGCGAGCCAGCACCGATCATACAAACACGCAGCTTGTGACTCTTCAACTCACGGCGCACTCGTCTGGCGACAGAAACCCTCGGCACGAAAATCACGCATCTGCCACCTGGATTGCTTTGCAGAGCACGGCGGACAATCATTGCATAAATGGAAATGGTCAGTGACACCGAAGCCACCTGCAGGGTCAGCGGCCTGCCCTCAAAGCGATCCCACATGTCAAAAATATGATCCACCTGTTGTGTGCACCAGTCGCTGGTCAATCGAATGCCATCAGACATCGGCACGGTCGGGCGCCCAAGCTCCCACCGAGGAATCCGAGTACATCGCTTGCCTTGCAGGGCGGCTGGCAGGCCGTAATAACTATACTGAGTCCATATCCGGTGACCAGGTAGTATGTACAAGGGCTGTCCTGCATTGCAGGACAGCGGGAAATGTGCTTGGGCCAACATTTCTCGGAGTGCATGCTGAAAAGACCTTCTCTACTTCGGCGATGTCTGAGACCTGGATCCTGCAACAAAGCTGATGCCAAAATATACAAAGGGGTTACTTTGCTTCATCTTTCGGACAGCGCGTGCACTTTGGACAGCGCGTGCGCGAAGTTCGCTCCTCACTGCTGGCGCTTTCGAGCTCCCACCTGCAATGGAGGGTTTGAGCAGCCCCTCAATTCAACTTGAACTCTTATGGCCAACGTCTCACGACGCTCCTTCGGCGAGTTGTTGTCAAAAGATGCTTGCATAAAGATTTCTGCTTAGACTCGGGATTCTGCAGATCGATGTAGTGTTGAAATCCTTTAGCGGATGATGATGCGTGGGTAATCGTAGACCTAACACCAAAACACTTTGCCGTGGACTTTGTGAAGAACTCTCCGGATTGACATCGAATTGAAAGATTGCATTTCATCCACGACCGGGATCCCGGATTCAAAATACCTGCAAGCATTCCCTGGGATCGCGAATCTCGGCCTCAGTGACAACTTACGAGATACACACCCGTGTATGTACCTGCACATACAATGCGTAGTGAATCGTGCTTAGGTGTGTGTAGGCGGTTGTGTATTTCTATTTCTCTACATGCACGCATGTATGCGTGCATATTTCTACACAAACCACATATGTCTTGTACAAAGTAGGGTTGTTTCACTAGTAACCTCCCCAATCAAAGGAAAAGCAATGCAAGCCCTATATACACTCACCAAGTGTCAAACAGTAACCTACCGAACGCCTGCACGTGTATGCATGCATGTATGTGTGTGTGTGTGCGTTCCAATCTGCAAACAATGAGGGGCAGATGTTGAAATCCTATACATGTTGAAATCCTATGGTTTCTGCCGCGCTGGGAAATCTCGAACACCCTAACCCTCAACCTCTCTTAAAAGGGTGAGCTGTGGGGGAGTGGCATGCCCTAACCCATCAAGCAGCTGGGGTATTCTCCCTGCAAGACTTTGGCAGTGACACAGAGTGTAACTGCAAACCTTTAAAAAAATCTGCGGAGAGTGATGGGTGTGGAAAACTGAAACCAACCAAAACTACCCTGCAACGAAGTAGGTATAGCATCTGCAAGGCGTGGAGAGTGAAAGGCGCGGGTGCTGACAAACCCGAAGTCCGACAAGTACAGTCCATGGCCAGTCCCTGTAGGAACACAGACTCGCAAAGGCATGGCGAATGGAATTTTGAAGGGCATGGGGGTCTGAAACCATGGGCTTCGAGGACCCGAGCGCAAATCTCTGCTGAGATCGAAGGTGCGAAGACGTCTTCGTGTCATTCTTCGAGCTATTTGGGTTTCCGCCTTCCCACCCTTCTCTCCCTTTGCAGACCCTGTGTGTGTGTGTGGGGGGGTTGGCAAAAACTCGTGATGTGGCGCCCGTTGTGTCATGGAATCCTGCGCCACGTCCAGTTTCAAGAATCTCTCCACTGCTGGCTGCCCCGTCTGATGCCCACTTCTGTATGGAGTTTTCCCGCCGGCTAATGTAACTGGATGTCGCACAGACTCTCGAATTACTCGGTCAGCCTCCTCAGCATGTGGATCGGGTAGAAGAAGGTGAACCAAGACGGTCAGTTTACTGCGAGCGACTTTCTATACTTCCCGTGGTCCCAACATGTATGCATGCATGTATGCATGCATGTACATATGTATGTATGTACGTATGTATGTCTGCGCGTATTGCTGTATGAATGTATGCATGTATTCATGCATGCGTGCATGCATGCGTACATGCATACATACATACAACAGTACATGCATGACAAAAAGCATGGCTGTTTGCTAGCTAGACGCACAGATACAAACACGTGCATGCATGTGTATGTATATTCACATATGCATGGACGTACGTATGCATGCATATATTTAAAAATGCATGTATGTTTGTCAAACCCTGGCTTTCAACCTTCGGCGCTCCCTCCAGCTTGGCTGTCACCAGCTCGAGCATGCCTAGAGCGACCCATCCAGGGAGAATGGATAACCTACACAGATCTATCCCAGATTAACTGTGCAACGGAAGCCATGCGAGAACACAATCTTCGGCTGCAACTTTGGCCGGGAGGCTCTGCATCGACGGCTGACCTTTGGCATTGCGCCGCGCGAGCAGCTGGCCAGTGACGGCCTGGTCCAAAGCCCAGAAAGCCCTCGTCGTGACCCCACAACGGGGCCCTGCACGCAGGTCTTTCGCTGTTCAAAGCAGTCGTTGGAGGTGGAGGGCTTCCGAGAGCCGAGGGCCGGGCACGCTCCTTGGCAGTCCTTGGCTGGTAATGCGGAAGGCCTAGCAGCCCCGGCAAGTCCTCAGAGCACTCCCTGTGAGTTCGGTGGCGCTGGACTTTGGATACCAAGGAGCTGCTTTCTCTTGCGGTTCCTTTGGCGGAACTCCTGGAGCGATCTCACAGGGCTCTGACGCCAAGTGGTTTCCGGAAAGACTGAAGCCTCGAAGCGTAGGCGTAGACCGAAAGTAAGAACGCTTCAGATTTCGGTAGTCCGACACAGAGCACCTTCCGCCACCTCGCAAAGTGGACTTTCCGAAAGTTCCACCAGGACCAAGCCTTCTTCGCCCAAGATCTGAGATGCAGAACCCTTGAAAGCCGAAAGCCCCAATGGGCCCGCTCCTCCTCCCGTGCTGCCTGGGCCGCGGCCTTGGCAGCCTCGGCGGCCTCGAAGTCCCGGCATGCCCTGGGAGAGCGAAAGTGCCAGGACGCAGGGAGCGAGAGAGCTGAGAGCTGGGTCCAAGGACTTCTGAAAGCGGTCGGGAACCTCAGAAGGCATCTCGTGGCTCACAGGCGAACTCCCAAGTGTTTCAGTTGCAATGTTGCTGAGGGCGGGGCCGTCGCCTTTCTGTCTTTGTTGCGGCCTGGCACTGTCTCTGCAATCTGCCTGGGCCCTAACATTGCACACAAAAGGTCCTGGCTACTTGCGCTGTTCGCAACCACAGCAAGTGAGACAGACACACAGAGCTGCAAAAATGGTGCATCACCAAGGTCATCGAGATCATGGCACTGCTGCCTCGCCCCCGCCGTGATTGCTCTGATGGGGCGGTTGCAGTCGGGCCTGCAAGATCCATGAGAATAAGCTTTCGGAGGCCCGGAAGAACCAGCATCAGCTAATTCATGAAAGATGCCTACAGGATCTGCTGCTGCTTCCTGGCTGGCTGCAGCGCGAGCAGTCTTCCTGCCAGGAACTGGCTTCTCCAGCCTGTGCAGACTTAGGCGATGTCGTCGCTGGACCATGCACGTACGGTAAGAAGGTCTATTGAATGTCCGGTACAGTTACCACTTTAAAGCTTCCCTTTCACTCAGACCCGACCCTACTTGCCACGTCCTCGGATCCTTCGCTCGTCTAGATGCAAGGCTTCTGGCTTGTGCTCACCACTCTAAACATTCCATCTGCGTGTCTATGCGACACATCTCTCAAGCCATATACCCCTGCTCAGCACTCTGACCGCCTGACCATCCCGAAACCACGCAACTTCACCCTTGGACTTCCAGCACAAACCTGCCTTGCAGGCTACAGACCTAGATAGCAAGCTTCAGCTACAGGCAAAAGATCCCATAGAGATCATGTGCAAACTCAAACCCCGTCCTCTGCCGCTTGAGTTTCTTTGTCCGTGGCGGCTTGCTCTCTGCCTCCTGAAAGATCACTGCGAAGCTAGCCATCAGTTGCACACAGAAGAGTGCATGGTCAACCCGGAAGACACGAGAACCCTTAAAAGCACATCGTAAATAGTAAGGATGCGAGGTCTGTACCATCCCACTATGTCACTATGAGTATCTTCTCACTGCGACCGGAGCGATGTCTGGCTCTCCTCTGATCATGCTGCCCTCGACTGCCGCACTGTAGACCTGACCCTTTGTTTCTTGCTCCTGAAACTCGGAGTTTCATAACACTGACAGCCGCAATGTAAACCCTGAACAGGACGATCTTCATCACCCCGAGCTGTACGACGTGCCCACATCGCCTCGGCTTTGTTGGAGGCCGTGCTGCCTGCAAGAGGAAAAATCAAGGCCGGGAAACGCCTCTAAAACCTCCTGGGCTCTTGTCAATCAACTTAGTCGCTTCGTTTGATTTCGGTGGATTGGGCAGCTGGACTGGCCACGATTGGGTGGCCATAGCGGCTTGGGAGAAAAGTTTGAGTCGGAGGAGATAAGTTTGAGTCGGACCTGAGGCCACAACCTATCTTGGCGGACCATGACTTATCTTAGCTTCTCGTCCCACAAAGGCACGCTTGTCGACACAAAGTCAAACGCGACTGAAGTGTGTACGGCAATGAGAGTGGAAGTGCAGCAGAAGCTCAAGCAGCGCCTTGTGGGGTACCGTAGGTCAGCTCCAGGCGACGCTCCTCAGAGTGCAAGGAAGTCCCACAGCATTGCTGCGCCGATTTTGCTTTCGTTGTGACTCTTGCACGGCATGGCGGTACATAATCACTGCAAATGTCATCGGCTACGAGCTCGTGGGAACAAGTGGGTGTGGGCTTGCACGCTCTATCATCGGTTGTGCAGAATAGGTGACGAACCTCTGCCGCTGTCACATGATTATTTTTCCACACGCACATCATCATTTTTGTTTCATGCGACGGCAACTGCTAGCGGCACGTACCTTTATCCAGCACTGCCCTATATCCATAATTCCGAGAGCCTGAAGAGTGAGTCGTAGTGCTTCCTTTCAGAACACCTTGACGAGAGAATGGCTGGACTGAAATGGACACAAGAATGTATGACTTTCTGGGGACTGGGAGGGACTCCGAGTTCGGCCCGGAAAACTGTGCGACGGTCAATGGCGCAATAGCACAATTGCTTGACTCGGCTTCGCGTGGTGCTAGTGTGTGATACCGAGTTCCACACCTGTGTTTCCGCCCCTAGTCGTTATTTTCCCCACAGCATATGGCATTTCTCGCGTTAGCGGAATCAGCCTCGAACAACGATGAACACCCTGCGTCATCGAACAAGGAGTCACTTGGCACTCCATATCACGTTCCCCCTACTCTACTAGCAGAGGGCCGAACATTGAGCCCAACGCAGCTGCCCTTAAAGAAAGGAAAACAGACCCCAAACCTCTGGCTCCGAGCAAGCAACATAGTCAGCTTCCACGGCGTCCGCCCCCTGCACAGGCTTAGAATCAGCAGGGCACTAAGGGTCAGGAGCCCAGTTGAACTCAACGTCTTTTAAACGAGTTCCTGAAAATCTTGCAAAATATCAAAAAACTACAGCCCAGCTTCAAAGTCTTGCAAGCAGCGTGGCAAGGGTTCAAACACACAGAACTTCCACCTCGGCCAGGACGCGCTCGAGCAGCGCCTGTCGCTCCAACGGCACCGTCTGATTGCGCTCCTGCGGGCAGCAAGTCACCCATGCGGCAAATCGGAAAGCGAAAAGCCTCACGCCGTTCCAGCTAGAAGCATCGTCATCATCCTCGTAGCGCTTGAGACGCTTGAAGCGCGCATGCGTCTTCTGCCGTTCGTAGTATTTCTTCTGCCGGTCCCTTTGCACATACCTTCACGAGCAGAACAAAGACAAAGACTCATGCTAGTCAGTGCTGCTGCATCTGATTGTAGAAAGCCTTGCGCAAAGCCTCCTCACGAAACCATACCATTCATGGACCTGGAAAACTGCAATTACTTACGATACCAAAGCCAGCTGCACTGCTTCGCAAGGGCCAACCTATCCCTTTGTGATTGATACAACTCCTGTTGACCTGAGGGTCCATATTACTGGCGTCTCTCCTTTTCCCTCTCCCACAACAGGACGAGCAAGGGCCAGGGCACGCATTGTAAGGATTCGCTTTCCGTCCATGGCACTTGTTCAGGGGCGGCATGTGATTGTAAGCTACAGCTCAATTGACATTGCGACTGCTCTAACGGAAGCAGTTTTTTCTTAATGATGATCGAATGTGCGACGACAGGTTGAAATTATGTACGCCGGTGCCGGCTTATGCTGCATCGCATGCACAAGAATGCGCAGTCGCACATGGCATAGCCTGTTTTTCACATACTGCTGCACAAATTTGTATGATCAGCTGCAGGAATGAATGATTTCACTGCAAGCTCGCCTTCAAAAGCACTGGCCGTGACAGAGAGCAACAGCAAAGCGGTAAACTCTTCTTTGCCGCTCTTGGGCAATCGACTCAAGGCAAAAGCTCTACGCTCTACTTTTGTGACGCCCGGAATGTCGGGAAACTGCCGCTTCCAGGAATATTTCTTTTTACGATTTCAATACGATTTTGATCTGAGTTCAGAAATCCTTCCGGTTATGATTGTCTTATGGTTTACGATTCGCACACGGCCTGGATACGACTTTAATACGAATTCGATACAATGTTGATACGACTTTGATACGAATTCGATACGTCTCCAGCCTCCTCCAGGACNNCAGGACTGGTTTTGATGTGTTTGCTATGTCTTTGACATGGACTTCGGACTTGCAACCGAGCTGCTTTCCAAGCTGTACTTTCCCGCGTAGCCGTATTAGAATCAATACCATAGCCGTATTAAAATCGCAACCAAAACCAAAACCCTATCAAAATCGCAAACGGGAAAAACCCCAGAACCATAAGAAAACCATAAGATGATCATAAAAAATAATTCCGGGCTCATACCCTGACATATAGTGGGTGTCACAACTCTACTTGAGTCATTCTTGTACAACGGAAAATGGGACCGCTCATCGACAGCCCCGCGCGTGAACAAGCAATGCTTCGCTACACTCTCTCACTGAGAGGGCAGAGTGAGAAATGCAAACAGCACCTCAACACCACGGCTGAGATGCCAGGCGACAAGGCGCCCCTCGCCATGCCTCGCCACCTCTCCCACTAGGAGCACTGTCGGAGAAGCTGCTTCACCTTAGTGTGAATCAGCACCAACTCCGCATGCCAAGTACCTGCAGCCAATGGTTAATATAAGCGTTTGCCTCCAGCCTCTCGGCGGCCACGTCCAGCGAGGGGAAGTAGGACTTCTGGGCCGGGCCTTGCCTCCGGTCGTAGAAATCTGTAGGGACCTCTTAAGCCTTCGTTCCACATTGCCTGTGGATGTCCAAAGTGTAGCAGTTCAAAGCGCCGCCAAAGGGATAGCAGGCTGAGAACTCGATCGGAATGACGTCCACACCTCCCGGAAAGGCTGCTCTTTGCCGTGAGTCACGCGGCATCCTCCTTTCTGAGTTCCGGTGCCTTCCTCACCGAAGAGCTTGATGAGACTCTTCTCATTCTTCTCCACGATGCAAACCTGCTTTTCAACAGCACTGCAGACCTGAAACGCATGCTTGCGACAAAGACCGGCTGCCTTGGGCGCAATGGTGAGCACGTTCAGATGAATGCCAGGGGCGCACTGGTCGGCGGTGCACCGGCAATCCTCACGAACTCCTGCATCCAACGGCGGTTCCCAGAAATGTTAAGGTCCGTACTTCTCGTTTTTTTTGCTTGCCCCTAACCGAAAATGAGAAGATTGGGCCTCCATCGATGAGGGTCCACTCGTTCCTGAATGACATTCCAAAGACAAGATCTCAAACAGTTTCCTTGCTTCGAGATCGAGGCATTGTATGGAACACTAACGAACTGGTGGTGTGCGAGTGAGGCGAGTTGTGCCAAGACTCTCTTTGAAGAGCTCAATCATCTCCTGAAGCAATCGCTGGGACAGCAGCAGCTCGAGCACAAGCTGACAAAAGCTCCAGTCACGGCTACCTGTTAGTTTTGTTTTGTTTTCACCCTTGTAATTAGCGTGTTCACTTTACCCTACTTCTTAAGCTATCACTGCGAAGATGGTTCTATATTTCCTGCTATGAATTGTAGATTCTGCTACATATCCGCAATGCAGCACGTGCAACCATGATGGATACCCCAAAAACCGAAAAAAAACAAGACGCGTCGAAGCCAGCGCGCTTTCGCCAAAAGCAGCAACCAGGAACCCCGAGGAGCCTTGTTTTTGTTACCTTCCTCTCTGCTGTCTCAGGCTCCGGAGTCGGCGGGTCCATGCCGCTGAAGAAGCAGAGGCCTTCATCCACGGGGGTCAGCCTCGCGTCGATGTGGGAGAAGTGGAAGTGACTCTCGAAATGGAAGTCCTCAAAGCTCCAAGTGGGGTTCGACTTGTTTTTTCCGTCGCTGCACTCGCTGACAAACTGCATCGGCAGTCCTGGACGCGGGTGCCTTGAGCAGCAAGCTCCCGGCGCACCCACTCTCGCCCTGCTGTGCAGCAATGCATCTCAATCGTGGCCCGTCGGAAGCTTGAAAGCTTGCTTGCAAAGCCCCTTTCGCTTTGATCGGAGGCCTAGGTCGTTGGCGGTGTGCGCACTCTGGAAGAACACGTCCTTGGCGAGCTGCGAAAACAAGCTTCGAGCGCACGGCTTCCTAAAACACTCCGGGAGTAAATTCAGGCAAGATCCTTTCCGAAGCGCCTGGAATCAGCAGCATCGAAGAAAATCTCCGAATTCCGAATAGTGCGCTCCTCCAGCAACATTGGGGCACATGCATACGGTTTACTGTCGCTCCGACACAAGCCAAGAATTAAAGCTTCTGAGGAAAGACGGAAAACAATGTATGTGTGAGGACCCAAACTGCAAGGAAAAGGTATTGAGAGAATTGCGATTGATCGGGTGCGAAATTTACGCGGGCCTCACCATCACCACCAAAGCTTTCGTCTAAGAGCATGGGCTTCGGAGCGGCTGACCATCGCATCCTGGGGTCTGACTGGTAGTAGCCTGGCAGGCAGTGCCAACTTACAGAGCCCAAGATACACAAACATCAAGCCGACAAACCTGCACGCACCTTTGTGTCTGTTGCTCGTCATTTCCGTCGTGCAAGCTCTAAGGCCTGGACTCATCAGCAAGTCCCTCCATGCCAGGTGCTCGAAGTAGCGGCTGCGCCAGCTCATCGGTGCCTTGCAAGCCAAGCCCAAACTGAAAACACTAAATGGCTCAGCCACAGCATCTTGGACCCGGAGCCTCGATGACCTGCTTGCCAGCCACGAAGAACAAGTCTCGGGGACAGGTGAAACCACCCATCCTGGCTCGCATCAGCAAGCTCAATTGCCCTTACCCTTCACCCTGAAGTCGAAACTCTACGCTTACCTACATGAACCCTAAACCCTAAACCCTGAATCCGACGGCTAAAGTCCCTGAACCGGAACAGCCTCAGCAAACCATTGCTGCAAACCAGCTGGAGGCAACGGAAAACGCAGGGTCATGTCACACACGCGTGGGGCAGGGAAGGAGAGATAAGCCACACCACGGGGGTGAAGTGGGTTTGCCATGCCTGCCAGGGCTTGGTTGGAATGGATTGGGTGTGTTTGGGTGGGTGTTGAGTGTAATTGAGTATTCATTATTAATTTCGATGCAATTTTTTGTGAATGAGATCCTGCAGAAAACCGGTAGCATAATTGTCAGCCATGGCATGCCGCTCACTTCTGGGGTTACTTACGAAAATGGTTCACAGATGATGAATGAACCCCAAAGCGGGGGGTGAAGTTGGTTTGCCACGGCTGACAGGGCTTGGAATGGGTTGGGTGGGTTTGGGTGGTTTTGAACGGTGTTGAATGGCGTCGTACTTTCGTTTAAAAACTTGTGGTTGGCGCTTTGCAGAAAATCGTTATCAAAATATTGTCAGTCATGATATTCCGGCCGTTCACGTCTGGGCATATTATGATAAACCCCAAAGCCTAAGTAAAGTTTGCCACGCCTGCCAGGGCTTGGAATGGGTTGGGTGGGGTGTTGGGTGATTTCGTGTGGGCGGGTTTGGGTGGGTTTTGGGTTGCGGGTTTTAGGTGTAATTGCGTCTTATCAATTGTTGTGGTCCAGTGTTTGCAGGGATCCGATAATATAATATTGTCAGCCACACACTTCTGGGTTTAAACCCCAAAGCGAAGTTGATTTGCCGTAGTACGCCACACTCCCCTTACAAGGGCTGTGCTTGGCATGCATGGGCCATACTGGCCCCGGGGAGGCCAGCATCATGAGCATCAGGTGGTCCGCGCGGGCGTGGCCAAAAAGCGCGAAACGACCGTGACGATACGTGTACGGGATATCCATCGGCCGACCAAGGGGTGCAGCTGATGCTCCGGGCGTCGGAAATTGTGAGAAAACACAGCGAAATGCTGTAAATGCCGCTGAGAACGCGTGTTGAACGATGCAAGCTACGAATGAAGCCGAAGCTGTCTCAATAACGCGGACATGCGCGATGATGCTGAACCAAGCCCCCGATGTTCTGCAAATCCCTGTTGCCGCGTACCCTAAACCCTAAATTGCAACCATTGAATCCAGTAAATCAAACCCAGTAAATCCTCAACCATATTTTTTCGTCCCTAGCCCTAAACCTCACATGCATTAACCGAGCTTTCGCCCTCCTAAGCTCTTTACTGGATGCTAGACTCAACTCATTGGACCTTGAAACTTAGCGTCGGCCTGTATCAAGAACGGGCAAGTGGGTAGTGCGGGTGACGAGGCGACGGTGTTGCAGGCTGTGGTTGGGGGTGAGAGGGTGGCAGACTCAGGAAAACTGGGGCTGTTCCTTCACTTCGTTTGCAATTCCAGACGGACGGCCCCTTGCAGACTCTGTCTCAATACATGGCTTATGACATGGCTGTTTGAAGGCTCCTGTCGATGGACCACATCGGGGTCTGGATCGCCTTCTGTGTCTCGAACGGCTTGGGCCTTTGTACGATGATGCCCTCTTGCTTCAAGACCTCCAGAACATGTTCTGTGCCAGTAGGTCGGTAGGACATGGAAAACACTGGAACCCGCCTTGTGTTTTGTCAACATGACTCCGATAGCTACCGATGATTACTTACGCATGCACGCCTTCACATAGTTGTCCAGTTGTCTCTTGGCCTGGCGCGACCAAACCCAATGGCATATTCCCCTAGACAATTGGTCTCGACATGTGTGTGGTGAAGGCTGGCGCTGCCTCTGCCAGGCAGTCGGCATCTGTGGCGAAACCATCCCTGAGGGGCCAGTTGTACTTCTGGTAGCAGGCCACCTTTCTTGCGACGGCTGGCTCCTGGCACTGCAACAACCACAGCTGCTGGCCGATCCTCATCCCGGAAAGATCCGACACTGCCTCCGGCGGTGTCAGCGACTTGTACTCCTCAGCGAGAGCTTACACATGGCTTGTGGATTCCTGTTCAGCGAAACAAGAAAACACTTAAATCACTTAAAACAAAGCATCACATCGTGCAAACTGACCGATAGCTGGTCGAGTGTCCAACGATCCCACCCACACTTCACGGAGCTGGTCCCATTCGGTCCAACTCTCGACCAGGCCCAAAGTCTCCCCGTCCATGGCTGAAACCACGAGGACAGAACCACTTCGATGTTATCGCGACATCTTGCCCACACCTGTTCTTATCACGTTTGCTTCTGGCGTCTGCATTGGAACACTTGAGACCGCTTTCCGAGGATCGAAAGCCCTGCTGCGCTCGGCCGTGAAACGTCACATCATGCATCAACTAATATCTTGACAAGCGACCGTGGTCACAACTCAATCGCAACAAGAAACGGCTCCACAAGTCCAACGTGACGAAGCATGTTTTAACAGGCGCGCGGCCAATCAGCCTCCAGTCGTTCATACAGTCAGCCAACAGTAGAAAAAAGTGGAGTGGATTGTTCACAACAAAGCCCGAAACCCCAATGAGTGGTTCATGGCTGTTCAAGGCCCCAACACCCAATGGGACATGACGGGTGGCAAAACCAGCACTTCCACCCTGAACCGCCAAAAAGATGATTCCTGCACATTCCTGCTTAAGCACCCTAGCAAGAGCTGCTGGACCCTAAACCCAAAACTTGTAAACAGGTGAAACCCCAGGCCTGTCACGGCCTCTGGCACGCTTCCGGAAATTTCAATGACAGGGAGCATGAAAAAGCATGCAACTGCGGGCAACTCAGGAGTCGCCTTCTAAGGAGAAAGTATGCTGGGATTTGGCCGGTGGCCGAAGGTTCTGGGTAGGAAATACGCCTCAAAGGTGCGGCACTGCTGTCGCCGCCAGTGGCATCACCCCAGGTGACCACAGATGTGTCGCCCAGGATTGCGGCGAAAACCGCACCTGCAACCTCCGAAGTCTTGTCGATGGCAAGTCTTGCAGGGCCACTCTTTCTCGCAATGCACGCTGGATCGGGGCTCTGAACTGTGGATGCTGAACGTTTGCGGCATTTTGAGGCCTCGGGCTTGCTCTTCAGCAGTCATAAACTACAGCATTCATGAACCTGCTTCAACAGTCCATCGGCCGAGTCGAGCGTGGCAGCGGCAAGCGGATCCGAAGACGGATACGGCCCATGGCAATCAGAAGCACATTTTTCAATTGACCTCTGGGGACATCTCAAAGACTGGGGGGCATCCCGAGCGGCTGTTCAAGTAACATCCTTGTCTCAAGCTGCAGTGTTGTTGAACCTTCCAGAACCAGACAAATCTCGGTTCTATGAACCGCTAAAGCCTATGTTAAAGTCCAGAGGAGCAGGACATGCTGAGGAAGCTATCCGAGAGAGCGGTCCGGCACATACAGAAGGCTGGACCAACCACTGAAAAGAAATCATGGCGACGGCCACTGCTCATCCACCAGATGGCGGGGACTGCACACTACCCACTGCAAACAAATGAAAAGGTAAGTTCGTGTAGATGTGCATGTATGCAATGTCTGCGTTACGCGTTGTATTTATTGTTTGCTTCACATCTACATGGAAATGTATCTTGAATGTTCACATCACTTGCTCTGGCTCGTCAACTCGGAGCCCTCTCCTGCTGCTGTGCGGGGGGGACGTCAGCAGCACACACGAGCACGACGGGCAGGTTATTCAAAGTTCTGTTACAGCAACCATCACGACAACCACGACAATCAAACTGCTCTGCAACTACCACCCGTGCTGCTTCCTGTACTGCGACGAAGAAACGACTACTACTGCTACTACCACTACCACTACCACTACTACCACTACTTACTACCCCCACCACCATCACCACCACCACCACCACGACTACTACTACTACTACTACTACTACTACTACTACTACTACTCTGCTGCAGCCAAGTGGCTGTTGTAAAGGAGGTCGAAAAGGCTCCCACCTGAAGTGTCGGGTTTCCGGTTTACG